AATGGTATGTAAAGAAGCCCATTTGTCCTGAAAAAAAGCAATATATAATTTGTATGTGGAACATTTGATAAATGAGAAAGCGAGGAAAATTACAGCCAAACACAAACACCACAAAGTGTAAAAATATTCTAATTACTTAAATGTACAACATGCATAAAAACAGTCAGTCCTTAAAAGAAATTTAACAATAAATATATCAAAGACCATAAATTGTTTTGATTTTTTCTTCCCATTTATCCCAGTTGTATTTTAGTATTGGGAAACCATGCATATTGGCTCTGTGTGATAATTCATGTACCTTATTCTCTAAAATCAAATTAAAAACTTCTCTGAGAGATGGCACATTTTGAGACTTCCAATGTCTAGGTAAACAGGATGTAGCAGCGATCAGAATGTGGCCTATGATTATTTTATCTGATCTATTAATGGACTCCGGGAGTTTTTAAATAAGGCTAGTTCCGAGGTTAAGATACTAATGGTTCCGTTCACTTTAATAATCAGATCGTGGATCATTTTCCAATAATTAATTAACTTGGGGCAGAACCACCAGATATGGGCCATATTGCCCAATCCCCCACAGTCTCTCCAACACCGGTCCGAATACATATTGTTCATGTTATGTAATCTAGACGGGGCCAGGTACCAGCGATATAAGATTTTATAATGATTTTCAAAATGGTCGGTGCAATATGAAATACCTTTTAAACCTGTAAAGAAACCGAACCATTCTTCTAAATCGTACTGGGCACCCAACTCCGTCTCCCATGACAGCATATGTTTTAATTTAATTAAGGGCTTGGCATTATGAGATAAGTAACATAAGGATATCATACCTTTACTAGCGGGGCTGTATAAAATAACTTTCTCTAAAGGAGATATCTCAAGTGATTTATAATTTTTATCTGTTTCAGGTACCTGGTATAGTTCTTTCAATTTATCAATGATTATCATACATTCCAGTTCACATGCATTCGACAATCCATACTTAAGCTTCAATTTTTCCAAAGAAAGAATAGCATTGCCATAAAAAAAATTGTCCAGATTAGTTATAGAGCAATCCTTCAATAATTCTATTTTTAAAGATGGTATATGATCTTTCAATAATTCAATAGGCATTGCTCTATATAAACTGGGAGACTAGTCATTTTTAAAAACAATGTCCCAGGCCTTAAGCGTAGTCCTGGTGGATAAAAATAATTTTGTAATTCCAGGTCTTTTCTTAGGATTTAACCAAGGTAGTTCTAATAGTCTAACCGGTGAAATTTTTGATTCCTCTATCTCCATCCATCTGGGTTTATCATCCTGGTTGTTAAAGCTCACAACCACTGCAGCGTTAGTGGCGAAATAATATTTGCGGATATCGGGGACACCAATACCACCGTTCGATTTATGGTGCTGCAGGGAAGTGAGCCTCACTCGGGCAGGCTTGTTCCCCGATATAAATTTCAACATTGAATGGACAGAGGAATGGTCCTAAAAAAATATAAAATTTTGGGGAGTATCGTCATTTTAATAGATGTGACCCTCCCCAGCCATGAGAGCTCCATCCCACCCCACCTCTCCATCTCTTTTTGTAGGTCTGACCATGCTTTCCTCAGGTTGTGATTGTGCATATTGACCAAATTTTTGCATAAATTAATGCCAAGATATTCCATATATTCAGTTCTCCAATCAAATAAATATGATTTCTTAAGGGCAATGGTTTCCAAATTGTTTAAATGAAACGGGAGGGCTTGAGTTATGGACTCATTTAATTTGTAATACGATATCTCACCAAATTGAGTTAAGATATCCTTGAGGTGTCTCAAAGATTCTTTTGGGTTTTTGATAGCTAGGATTATATCATCTGCAAACAAACCAATTTTGTGAACGGATTCTTTAACAGCAATTCCTACAATTTGTGGGGTTGTCCTAATCAGTTCTGCCAGGGGTTCTATCGCTAAAACAAACAAAATTGGAGATAAAGGGCACCCCTGTCTCGTCCCGTTGGTTAGAGAAAAAGTTTTGGATGTGAAGCCAGAAGCTGAGACATGGGCGGAGGGTGCGCAATATAACGCCTTAATTGCTGTGATAAATGATGATGATATGTTGAACCTATCTAATGTTCTCCATAAATATCCCCAATGTATCCTGTCAAACGCTTTTTCTGCGTCTAGAGATAGAAGCAAAGAAGGCGTTTTGGTCATATTGATGTGCTGAATCAAGTTTATGAATCTTCTAGTTCCGTCTGGCGCCTGTCTATTCTGCACAAAACCTACTTGATCTTTATTAATTAACAATGGGATTAGTTTGGTTAATCTATTAGCAAGAACTTTAGAATAAATCTTTGAATCATTATTAATCAGAGAAATGGGCCTAAAGTTAGGGCATCTATCGGGAGTTTTCCCCGGCTTTGGCAAAGTGACTATTCGTGCGCACAAGGACTCCTCTGGCATCTTTCCCTCGGACTTATAGGAATTGAACAATTTAGTCATATGGGGAATTAAAATTTCTGGAAAAGTTTTATAATATAAAATAGTTAATCTGTCGGGACCAGGGGCTTTTCCAGATGGCATAAGTTTAATTGCCTCAGCTATCTCTGCTGCTGATATTTCGCATTCTAAGCTTTCTAAATGTACTGGAGACAGCCGAGGCAATGACACTCTGTCTAAGAATTTATCAATTATTGTTGTAGAAGGCTGGGGGAGGTCCAAATTACATTCTAAATTATAAAGTTTACTATAATACTCTGCGAACATATTACTAATTTTAGTTGGATGAAACACTTTTTGCCCCTGATCATCAAGTAAATATGCTATTTTTGATTGGGCATTCACATGCCGGAGTTTGGATGCCAAAAGAGTTGAGGCCCTGTTACCTTTTAAGTAAAATGTTTTCCTGAGACGTCTCACCACGAGAGATGTACGATCTAAATTAATTTTGTTGATTTTAGCCTTAATTTCTCCTATCATTGCTGATAGGGAGGACGATGGACCAAATTTATTAGCTTGGTTCAAATTATACAGTTCTTTTTCCAATGTTCTTAAATTATTGCTATTAATTCTCTTCAGGTAAGACGCTCTAGAAATAAAATGACCTTTTAACACAGCCTTATGCGCATTCCAAGTCACCTCGCCAGGAACCTCGGACGAGGCATTCTCCGAAAAATAATCACACAAAGCTTTCTCCGTCAGTGACTTGTTCACAACATCGTTTAACAAATAATCACCTAGTTTCCAAGTTCTGTTAAGGGCTGATGAAACAATTTCGTCAATATGCATTATGATTGGAGCATGGTCGGACCAGTTGATGTTTAAGATATCAGATTTCAAGATGTGCGGAATTAAAGCGCCCTGGACCATAAACCGGTCCAGCCTGGAATACATATTTTTAGAGACAGAATAATACGTAAAATCTCTTTCATTCTCATGCAACAGTCTCCAAGGGTCGTATAAGCCACATTCAATCATATATCTGGAGCATTTATACGCTAATCTGTCACTGTCCCCTCTAAGCTGTCAATCACGTTCTTCCCTAGCGTTATCCAACTCTCCATCCATCACAAAATTCGTGTCACCACACATTACCAAGCTGCCTCTCACATTCTCATTCACTAAGTCCATCAATTTCCTAAAAAACTGTAACTGACCGGTGTTTGGAAAATACATGTTCACAATAGTATATTCAATAGTATTGAGTGATCCTATCCATATTAAATACCTCTCGTCATCATCCGTTATAACTTTGTTTGTCAAACATGCTACATTCCTGTGAAAGAAAATCGATGTACCTCTAGACTTGGATTTATAAGTGCAATGGTATTAAACTGGGAAAAGCTTTGACATGATTTTATGGTCTTTATCATCTTTAAAATGTGTTTCCTGTACACAAAGCACGTCTGATTCGTTGGATTTTGCTTCTTTGAATAATAATCGTCTCTTGTGGGCGGTGTTCAGGCCTCTCACATTAAATGACATATATTTTAAGACCATGGTTTATAGAACAGTAATACCTGATAAAGGGTAAAGGAACATTCAACCTTGTGAGAGTCCCAGCCACCACCCTCCAAGAGAGAAACATGCAAGTCCAACAAAGCTATTAAAGCAAACTCAAGCTGTGTACTTGTGTGTACAGGAATAATGAGTAAACAGATTTTTGCAAGTTGCTGATGCCACGTATTATGCATTTTTGTATGAAGCATTGCAGTGTTTCGTGGTCTAAAAACATTTCTACTGAACTTTAAATGATGAATGGACAAAAAATATAAAAGAATAAAAAAGGGGAACAAAAAACTTGGATATATACCCCTATCAGGGGTAAAACAAAAACAGTGAAAGAGGGCCATGAGGGAGAACAAAAAAAGTTTCTCCATCTCAGGGTGTTAGGCCCGGGTTGGGGGGAGAGAAGGCTACTGGGTGCAGGGGGAGCTAATATAGGTAGTAAAAAACAAAAAGCAACTTTTTAAGTATGACAATTGAAAGGGTAGAAAGCACAGAACAATAAAAAAATAAAAAAATAAAAAATAATAAAATTAAATAAATATGAAATTATATATAAAAAAAATAAAAAAAATTATAAAATTAAATAAATATGAAATTATATAAAAAAATAAAATAAAAAATATTTTGATTGTATAAGTTTAGAAAGTTTTAAATAGAAGGATCGGTTTCTAATATAAACCAAAAAGGCACAGGACAAATAACCGTTAGTGGAAGAACTCAGAAGTCTGTCATAAAAAGGAGAAACAGATCAAAATTCAAAGTAATCCCGATAAATCGCCGGACTGGAGCAGGACTCGATGATGACCATAGAAAAGGAAGACTATGTCTCTTTGAACTAGGATCTCAGGAAGTGTCCGATTTGCTTCTCTTGCTGGCCTGCACAGGAGTAGATGGCAAGAATCTATGAGGCGAAACCTGACGTCTATTCATAGTATTGATGAGTTCCATTCCTTCTTCAGGCAACGTGACTATAAAATTCCGACCATCCATACCGAAGAGGACTTTAACGGGAATCCCCATCTATATCTTATCCCTCTTCGTCTTAGCTCCGCAGTGAAAAGTTGAAATTCCCTGCGTCGCTTCATTGTTTGAGCAGAAAAGTCTTGAAAGACCTTCATGCTGCTGTAATCTCCTGTGAGACCTGACGTGCGTACTGCACCTAGAAATTCTTCTTTAATGTGATAGTAGTGGAATCTCACTATCACGTCTTTGGGTGCAGTTTGAGGTGCATTGCCGGGTTTGGGCAATCTATGGATGCGATCCAGTAATAAATCCGCATTTTTTACGTTTGGTAGAGCTGACTTCACCATTGTCTGGAAATAGCTTTGTAATTCCTGAGAATCGATATTATCTGGGATCCCCCTGATCCTTAGGTTATTACGCCTACTTCTATCCTCAGCGTCGGCAAGCTTTTCTGCTTGTTGGTGCACTTGCTTTTGGAGCTCTTTTACGGTTTCAACCAGATCCAGATGAGATTGCTCTTGAGAGTGCAATTTATTCTCTATTATTTTTGTACGCTGATTAATGCCCTCCATGGCTCCATATAATGTGTCAAAGTCATTTTTAAAGTCATTTTTCAAATCAACTCTCAAATCTTTAATAAGTTGAATTATCATGCCAGCTGACGGTGGCAGGTCTGCTGCCAATTCAGGTGGCATATTAGGATTATAGGTCGCAGCTTTAAATGTGGTAGTAGCCATAATGGAGGTGGCAGCGGCCATCTTGGAAGTGGAAAATACAGTATCTGGACTGTCAGCCATCTTTGTTGTGGCAACATAACGTGTTCTCTGTGGTAGTGCAGAGAAGGCACTTTTTTGGAGCACTTCAGCCCCTATTTCCATAGGATTTTCATCTGGGCTTATTGTAGCCCTTGCTGCCCCTTTAAATACTTTGGGTCGGACAGCAGAGGCCCCCCCCTCCGGGACCGACAGCCTGGAGGCTGAGGATCCCGACGGGGAGCGTGACCTCGCACTGCCCTCCCCTTTACTTGCAACCCGGTCGCTTTTGTAAGTGAGCGACCGGGCTGCTCTGGAGTGAGACCGCGAGCGGCTTGCAGGGAGGTCCTTGCCACTCGCGGGAGACACAGCACTGTGCTCCGAGCATGCCGAGTGCTCGGAGCACTCTGAGCCGCACACAGGAGTGCCGGCTAGTGCGGTCGCGGTCCCGCCGCCCTCAGGAAGCTGCGGACGGGTCGCGGCCGCACAGGCATAAGTTTTGGGGAGGGAGACCGGGCGGGAGACCGGGAGGGAGGTAGGGAGGGATTTCCCCGACGCCACCAACGAAAGTTTAAGCGGCGAAACAAGCCGCGAGGCGGGTTTGGAAGCAGGGGAGCGAGCCTGGGAACCCTTACTCACCCCAGCCGCTCCTGCTTCCATTTTCTTCGTCCCAGGAACGGATTTTTCATTTTTCTTCTGCCTCTGCATGTTCAGTGCTGAATTTACTGTTAGTATTTTCAATCAAAATCGGTCCATTCAAATTAAAATTGTCGCTTTAGGAACAAAATTGTCCCCCTTGTCCAGGAGCCTCTCTATAACGTGGCCATCTAAGATGGTGGCCAAGACACGCCCCCATAATTTCATATTTTAGTGGTGTTATTGTATCATAGGAATAATTGAGTAAGTCATTAGGCTGAGCAGCGTCCTGCATATCGAGTAATGCATAATTCTGTTTCTAACTCTTTCAGTGCCAGATGTGAGCCACTCATATTGCTTTACTTTTGTTAACCATTGAAGTAACTAGGGTCAGGAACACAAACTGGTATTTGTGACTCTATAGTGTTAAAATCACCATTTAGGTGACTTGGTTGCTTCATCTAAGTGCTGCTTCTGAGTGTGTAGCTGGAGATATTCTGGAGAGTTTTACAGAAGCTTCAACTGTCTAAGAGTTGTAGTTGGAGATATTCTGGAGAGTGTTGCTTCTAAGTGTGTGGTTGGAGATATTCTGGAGAGTGTTGCTTCTAAGTGTGCAGTTGGAGATAAACTGGAGGTAATCTGAAGTATTCAGGAGGATAAATAAAAAGTTAAGATTCGTTTGATCTAAATTATTTTCCTCATTGGAATGGCAGACTTAGTTCAGTGTAATAGTTGCTATGCATTTGTTTCACATTCCACTTTTTGGAGGTTTGGTTGTTGTCTAATCTGTAGACAGTTCTCTATCTTGTGGCAGGAGATTGTATTTTTGAAGTCTGAGATTTGTAAATTATCTGGTGAACAAAGTCAGACTGGAACTGCTGAAAAGCCACTGCCGCAGAGACATACTAGGAATGGCAGATGGATTACGGTAGGATCTGGTAGACTTAGAGTTGTGGATAAAAGACATATGGCACAGTCTGCTCTACATAATTCATTTTCTGCACTTTCAGAGTGTAATGGTGTTGTGGAGAGAGGCACTGAGGCTAGTGGTGTTGTGGAAAGAGGCACTGAGGCTAGTGGTGTTGTGGAGACCGGCTTGGAGACTATGGTGAGGCCTAATAGAAAGCAGTTGTTGTTGGGGGATTCCATCATAAGAGATGTGGAGATGGACAATGGTGGTCTTGTGAGGTGTCTTCCCGGAGCTACTGCTCACAGAGACAGGAGACATATATGTAATATTGTTAAGCAAGCAAAGCAGGAAGGGGAATTGGATGTACTTGTCCATCTAGGGACAAATGACTTGGCTTGCAATGAGGCTTCAGAGGTTAAGGAAGTTTTTAGTGTTTTTGCCAATGATATACGGCAGGTTGCTTCCACAATGTCATTCTCTGAAGTTCCGCCTGTGCATAACACTCAGAACGACAGGCAGATGCGTATTAGGGACTTTAATTTGTTCTCAGTGAGCAGTTCAGAGGTTTTGCTAGGATGTATTTAAACTAGGAGGGGGGGGCAAAAGGGTGATAAAACATCAATCCAATTGTCCCCCAAAACAAGGACAGAAGGTGCCTGTAGCAAGTGTGTTAAAAAATGATAAGCTTAGAGTCATGTCTACAAATGCTCGTAGTTTAGGGAATAAGATCCATGAACTTGTGGCAATAATGGCAACTGATAGTGTAGATTTAGTCGCTGTTACTGAGACATGGTATAATGAGAAAAATGACTGGGACATAGCAATACCAGGGTACTCTTTATATAGAAAAGATAGGGAAGGCAAGAAAGGGATAGCATAAAATCTAGCCTAATAAAAGTTAGTGAGGCAAACACAGAGTCCGTTTGGGTTACGTTAGAATTTGGTAATCACACAGTAACTCATGTAGGTGTGATTTATAGGCCCCCAGGACAAATTGAAGAGTTAGATAATCTACTAGTTGAGGAAATAGCTAAAATGACAATGAAGGGGGAAGTTATCATCATGGGTGACTTTAATCTTCCTGATGTAAATTGGGAAACAAAATTAGCTACTTGTGCCAGGAGCACACATATTCTAAACTTCCTACTGGGATTGTCTCTAAAACAAGTAGTTGAGGAGCCAACTCGTAAAGAGGCCATACTAGATTTAGTGTTAACAAATGGAGATTTGGTATCAGATATTACTGTAGGTGAAAGTTTAGGATCCAGTGATCATCAGTCAGTGTGGTTTAATATAAGAACAGTGACTGAGTCACACCACACAAAAAACAAAAGTTTTAGACTTTAGAAAAACAGACTTTTCTAAAATTAGAATATGGGTAGAGGAGTCATTATCAGACTGGAGCAATTTAAATGGAGTCCAAGAGAAATGGGATTATTTAAAAGTTGCACTATTGAAGGCAACAGAAAATTGCATTAGGTGTGTCAGTAAAAGCAAAAAATTCAAGAAACCACAGTGGTACTCCGCAGATGTGGCCAAAATAGTTAAAAACAAAAAGTTAGCATTTAGTAATTATAAAAAAAAACCAGAGTGAGGAAGACTTTTTTTAGATACATAAATGAGAAAAGAAAAGTAAAACAAGGATGAGTTAGATTAATAACAAAACAAGGAAGGTATGTAGAAGAGGATAAAGGTCTAGTTGACTGCCTCAATTAATATTTTTGTTTGGTATTTGCAGATGAAAATGAAGGAAAGGGACCTCAGTTAAGAAAAAGGATAAATGGGTCATTTATTACACGTGAGTTTACAGAGGAAGAGGTTCTATTTCAACTGTCAAAAGTAAAGACAAATAAGTCAATGGGACCTGATGGAATACACCCAAAGCTATTAAAAGAGCTTAGTGGTGTACTAGCAAAACCATTAATAGATTTATTTAACCAATCATTGTTAACAGGAGTAGTCCCAGAAGATTGGAAGTTAGCGAATGTTGTGCCCATTCACAAGAAAGGTAATAGGGAGGAGTCGGCAACTATAGGCCAGTAAGCCTTACTTCAGTAGTGGGGAAAGTGATGGAAACCATGTTAAAGGATAGAATTGTTGAACATCTAAAAACACATGGATTTCAAGATCAGAGACAACATGGGTTTACTTCAGGGAGATCATGCCAAACCAATCTTATTGATTTTTTTGATTGGGTAACTAAAATAATAGATCAGGGTGGTGCAGTAGACATTGCTTACCTAGATTTCAGTAAGGCTTTTGACACTGTTGCACATAGAAGGCTTATCAATAAACTGCAATCTTTAAGTTTGGATTCAATATTGTTGAATGGGTAAGGCAGTGGCTG